GTACGGGGTGGAGTCATTCAATAATAGGACTAGCAGAATCTGAAATAAAACTCTTAGGTGGGGCTTGGAGGAACACTTCCTGGAGGACATATTCTTCGATTTGGACTCAGTGGCGGAACTGGTGCAAGGAAAAGAAGACTCAATCAGACAATCCCTCGGCACAACAACTGGTGGCATATCTGAGTTACCTCTTCAACGAGAGGAAATTGGCCTATAGATCGATCCTCACGCAGAAGTCAGCAATCTGCTCCCTAGCTAAAGGGGGAAACAAGGAGAGTTTGAGTTCCGACCCCTTGATCAAATCCATCCTGCAGGCGATCGGAATTCAAAGGGCTAGAGAGGTGAAACCTTCTAAAATAACCATCTGGAATGTTGAGACGATGACGGCCTGGATGACAAACCACCCACCCACAGAAGACAGCTTCTTCCAGACTTCGCGTTTTGTCGCTCTCCTTTTGTTGTTGGCATCGGGTAGAAGAATACATGATCTAACCCTTCTCTCGATCGATCCGGACTTCTATACGATCGATAAGGACAAAGTTGTCTTTTGGCCAAAATTTGGATCCAAAACAGATTCGTCGAATTATCGCCAATCGGGATGGCAAATCTCTCGGGGGAGAGACCCGTTATTTGACCCAGTAAGATGGATCAAAACCCTGATAGACCTGTCGATGGAGAGACGCAGAGCTCGAGAAGAACTCACAGCCCTCTTCATTACAACGAGAGGCATAGTCAAAGCGGCCTCGAGAGCGATAATCGCTGGCTGGGTAGGAACTGCCCTTTCGGTGGCAGGCATTCAGGCAAGTCCAGGATCAACGCGTTCGGCGGTAGCCTCTCATAATTTTCAAGGCACGAGGAACATGGAGGAGGTGCTACAAAGATGCAACTGGAAGGCCCCTGATAATTTTCTCAAGCATTATTACAAGGTTATTGAGAAACCAAAGAGTTCAGGACCAAAGAATTCTCTTACGATATGCTTTAATCCAGTGTAACATACGAAAACTATACCTTATAATCGCTATTATAATTTTGTACTCGAAGGCATGATTAAACACCTACTTCTGAATATTCCTTCCTTTGAAATCACAGTACAGCTTTATAGTGCCGGCAGATTCTAAACATCTCTCCGAAGGGTCAAGCCGAAGGCACAGACTTAAAATAGAATCGTTTTCCACCCCGAAGGGAAGAAAACGTATATTTTAGGTCTTGCCGAGGCTTGACCCGAGCAAGGGCTTGCCGTCATTCGGAATAGCTACTGAGGAGTCCCGTGATAATCACGGAGACGCTAGCTCGGCACGGAGGGCGCCACGGAGGCCGCCCTGGCTCAACGTCGTTTGTAGGGAAAGGGGGGGATTGAGCACATATGCATGTGAGGATTACGATAGGTAATCTCCGAAGGGTCAAGCCTCGGCAAGACCTAAAATATACGTTTTCTTCCCTTCGGGGTGGAAAACGATTCTATTTACTAAAATAATATAATCCGAGACGAGTGAAGAAAAGTAGTTTTTGGCTCGAGGAAGGATTATGACGCGACCCGAAGTAAAAAGTTGTCCACACAGTGTGACGAAAAAAAGTTTTTCTCACTTGCATCAAAATACATTATTTCGTGTTTACGATTACCGCGATTCTACGCTAGATTTTTTTTCCAATTTAACGAATTCGTAGCATCACAGCTCATTCTGCACTGCATTTTTTGCTGTGGATCTAGGGTAAAAATGACAGGTCCTTGCACATGTTAAAAATCCCAGCGGATCCACTGTATTATTACCGTGAATCCACGGTGATTTTTTTACCCAGGATCTACACAAAAAATGGTAGACCCGCGCCTGTTGAAAATCACCGTGGATCCACGGTAATTTTTGACGGTGGAACTACGGTAAAAATGGCGGACATGGCGCCTGTTGAGAATCACCGTGGATCTACGGTACAAATCGCGAACCCCGCGTCTGTTGGGAATCAACGTGGATCCACGGTAATAATTACTATAGGGCGTAGATCTACGACAAAAATTGCCGTGGATCCACGGTAAAAGTTACCGTGGTGCGTGTGAATATACACGGCCTATATTCGTTTATATTTTCATAACCGCCGCTAGAAAATTTCGCTGCTGATTTTCCCTATTATCTCTATTGAGAGTAACCATTAATTATATTTTCATATAAAAACTGCAGTATCGTATTTTCAGAATAGAAAAAAAATCGATGAAAATATTAAAACAGGCAAAAAAAACCACACTATATTTCGCTCTTTCTAGCGCGAAATTTGAAATATGAGAATGAGGGAATTCAGCGGAACCATTAAGGACATATTTTCATACAAAAATCAAGTATTGATGTTCCAGAACAGAAGAAAATACAATTAAAATAGTAAAATCGGAATCAACTATAGAAGGGATTGGTTCCCATGCTGAGATAAGCAGAGGGCCGGGAGTCTATGACAGCAATGATGTGATAGTGAGCAAGTCCTTGAGTAATTTTTTCCAATCTTTCATCGCTATCAATGAATTGATGGTATGCTTCCGAACGGCTAGAGAAATTGCTTATACCTTTGTATGATTTCTCTTATTTTTTTGATGATTCTCAAAAAATTTCCTATGATGAGGTATGCGACTTGGAATTAATTGAGATAGAGGGCACCGAAACGAAATTGTTTTTGAGAGAAGCAAAATTTTTAATTAATATAATAGTAAAGAAAAAAGCTTTAGTAGAAATTTTATTAAGAAAATATCTAGAATTTTCCATTAGTTAGGTTTTTTTATAAAATTTTTTCTTGCGAGTTAAAAGATCATGGAATAAGTGTTCCATGAAAGATCATTTATAAAATGAATGATTTTAGAAAACACATCAAATTTAATTCCAAAATTAATCAATATTGGAACCCAAAATAATGTTGGGAAAGCGCAAAAAGAATAGAGATTGGGCACAAAATTTTGAAAAAAGAAAGCCTCAGCGTTCTTCAATTCCCAACATTTACTTGCCAAGAGAACATTTGATGCCAAATTTCAAGTTAATAATAAGATATTTCTCCCCTAGAGAGGAAAAGTAGACAAGTCCTCCCCACGTTATTTTGCAATGTTACCGTGCTAACGTTTTGAAAAAATAGGAAAGTTGGAATATTTCGAAAACTTAGTGAGAATTGATGTACATATTTTAATTGATTGAGATAAAGTACTTGAAGACAAATATTATGATAGCTTTCAAGATATTTAAGAAAATCCATTTTAAGCAAAGCTGAATTTTTCATGAATTAATCATCGGATTTAACCGTTCTTCAATCCCAAAAATTTAATTGCCAATAGGAAACTTCATCCCGAATTTCACGTTGATGCGACAATTCGTAAAAGCTCTAGCCTGCTAATAAATTAAAAAAAAAAACAGACCAATTGCAATGTCTCATGAACTAATGATCAGATTCAGCCTTTCTTCAATACTAAACATTTAATTGCCAAGCCGAGTCTTTATGCCAAATTACAAGTTGATGAGTCGATTTTTCGCAACGTTACCATGCTACGAGAATTTTTTTGGCAAAAAAAGAAAAATTCGAATATCTCGAAAACTTAATATAAATGGATATGCATATTTTAATCAACTGAGATCTAGTACATCGAGAACATTTTAAGAGGTGAAACATTGGAAAAGGTTGCATAGTTTTCAAGATATCCACGGAAATCGATTTTGATATGAAGTGGAATTTTTCATGAACTAATGATCCGATCCAGCCGTTCTTCAATATCAGACATCTAATTGCGAAAAGAAAATTTGATGCCCAATTTCACATTGATGAATGAATTTTTCGCAACGTTACCGTACTAACGAACTTTTTTTTGGACAAAACAGAAAAATTGAAATGTTTCGAAAACTTAGTGGGAATAAATATACATATTTTGATTGATTGAGGGAGGATACATCGAGACGAATATTTTGACAGGTTTTTGACAAACATTGAAATGTTTTTGACAAATATTGAGATCGATTAGATAATTTTCCAGATATTTGCGACAAACGATTAAGAAACAAATGGCAATTATGAAAAACGACTGGACCAACCGAGCTGACACGGACTTAGTCCTTAGTAATTACCTATACTTTGATGGAATATGACCGTTCTTGGAATAACTTTAGCCGTTTATCCCTTTAATTTTCCAAAAGGGTCCATGTACATATACACATGGTGCTCAAATTTTGTATTTTTACTTTTCAGAGCGAATTTGCTAATTTTGCTTGGAAGTCGAATGACTGAAAATCAGCAAATTCGAAAATCTGACGATTACAAAGCTCCCGTTCGGAAGCAAAAAGTGTGTAAATTCATGGAAAAAATCGATTTTTTTTGAGGATTTTTTTCTACTTAATGAAAATATAGTAAAAAATTGAAATTTTAAAAGAAAAAAAAGTTCGTTTGATCCATTTTAAGGGGGATTATGAATTAAAAAAAAAATTAATTCGTATTTCGAAACGGTTAGAGTAAGAAATTGCAAAAAAATCATGAATGATTCTCTCATTATTTACTATTAGAGTCCCCCTCCCTCAAAATAGCAAAATCCAAATTTCGAAATTTCATCCGTGTTGGTTTTTTCGGAGAATGCACCCCTATATATTTGGAATTATCCCGACGGAGAGCGACCTCCAGTACACAATTTTGAAAAGAGAATCACAAACGTTACAAGCCTATTAAACTATTTCTAAATATCCAACTTGTTTTCTGTTCCAAGTGGCCAAAAAATAAAGAAATAAAAGCAATTACAAGGTGGTTTCTCCAAAGTAAATTTCAATAGAGCATATAAATGCAATTTTTTCCGTAATCGTTCTTCCGTATTTATTTGGGGATATTTAAAATAGAGGACATTTTTTTATTTCAAACATTAGTTTTGCACTTCAAATTTGTTATAGATCTCAGAAATCTATGCAGATGTTTGGTCCAATAAATGGTAATTTATAAAACTGAGTCTACCATTGATCTTTCATTTACACTAACGTGATAAAAAAAATTCCAAGTTGTCTCACCCTCACAACCAAGGACATTAGCAGGAATATCACAGGTACTCATCGTAGGGTTAAAAACAGTTCCCGGTGCGCAAATCATGATATGTGTCATTCCATTTGAACAGAGTAGAAACTTCCTGCAGTCATTGGGATGTACTAGGAGTCCACTCAGTTGTTCCGGACATTTTGGTTGCACCTAATTCACATGTGCACAGAGAAATTAAATTCATGAACAAATTTAATAAATTTAGAATAAATTTCGGCCCAAGGAAAATGGCAATTATACGGAGAGAAAAATCCAGCAAAAATTATCTGATTAATTAGTAATCGTGTTGTTTTTTAGCCGTTCGAATAATATTATCTTACCGCCGAGTAAAATTTGTCAGTTTTTAGTACCAACTTGTAAATATTTTTTCTCAAACGGCTAAATAACTTGTACCGAGGAGTTGACAACTTTTTATTGATACATAAGTAACAATTATTTAGACGTTTGGGACAACTTAGCTCGAATTTAAGTAGATTTTCTCAACCGGTTAAATAATTTTTACTAAACAATCGACAAATTTTACTAAGCGATAGGATAATTTTCCCCGAATGGTTAAAACACTGTAACAATGGTTACCAAATGGATAGGTAATTTTTGCAGAATATTACTCTCTGTCTGGATGGGGGATAATCGACCAAAATAATCACATTGAGCTGTGCGCTGTGAAAATCTGTTGTGGCTGCCTCTCGCACTTTATGATCGGCGGAATTCGCTGGAGAAAAATCCGCCAGTTCTCCTCCATAACACTTCACCTTGTGTGGAAAATCACATTCCAAGGTCTCTGGATTGAAATGAGTACCTGGAGCACAGGGCTGGATGAATGCCCTCCCTTTCCAACAGTTTACAAAAAATTTACAATCTGGGGGGTAAATAAACTGGCCACTTGCGCCGGGATGTGGACACTCGAATCCGGTCTTGCGATCGTACTTAGCCACTACTGAAGAACGAGTTCTTCGGGAATTTTCAAGTGATTCTTTTCTTGGTTTCTGCAAATTAAAGGAAAATTATCAGATCCTTCTATGATTGAATGAAGGGGAAGAACATTGAATAACATGGATTTTAAAAAAGAATATGATGTAAATTGAGTTGAGTTATTCTATTTCCTAAAATAATTTTAATTTTAATTATTTCTTTTAATTGAGTGGAAGAGACTGGTGAAAAGCAAAATAATCGTCTGTGGTGGCAAATTTCAAGGCTTGAAGTAGAAATTTTGAGAATTTGTCTGAAAATTATATTGGATTTATTTTTAACTTTCTCCTAGTTTTTGACTGATTCTATTAAAATTTCCAACGGAAAATCTATTTTATAGAAATATTTATCAGACAATTTCATAAACACTTTGAAAGAAGGAAACAAGCATAGGCTAAACAACTTGGAAAATTTGGGCCAGTGAAATTTCATAGATTATTACCCCTGTCGGAATTTCGACGCATAAAAAGGACGCATCTAATCTAATTTGGTAGAAGTCGATAGGTATTATTTCGGGCAGGATGTTCCCCTGGAAGTTAGATTAGATTAGATTAGATTTAAGTACGCGGATGGTCGGACTAGCCTTCCCAATGCCACCAAACTCAGATTAGAGTCATTGTAGCTCCGCTTGTTTTATGCACAGATTATATGCCCAGCCCGGCCTTTCTTGCCAGTCTTAATAGATCCGTTGCATCCTTGTTCGCGACTTGATTTGCCATGGGGAAGGCAGTTCTCCACCAGCGCAGTCTCGTCGCTGCTAGAGCCGGACAGTCACATAGGATGTGTAGACTGTCCTCTTTTGCTTCATTATAGAATCTGCACCACCCATCCGAGTCCATGCCGACGACTCAGCAAGGTTCTTTAAATCTGCCATGTCTTGTGAGCAGCTTGATCGTAGTGGCCAGACTTTTTCTGTCCATGGCTAGTAGGTGTTTCGACCTTTTCTTGCTGGGGCCAGGCATGATTGCCCTGGGCTTCCTGCAGGTCTTTGTGTCTTTCCACCGCTCCGATTGTCCACGTTCGAGCTTTTTCTTTATGTGGCTAACACCCACGGCATGGGGGACTCCCACTGGCGAACACTCGTCCGCATTTATTGTCCCCTACTTCGCCAGCCCGTCTGCCATTTCGTGGCCGTGGATGTCCTCGTGATCTGGGACCCAGACAAGGGTTGCTGGTCCCCAGTTTTTCCAGGTTCTCCATGGTTTCCCAGACCAACTTAGAGTCAGCACTGGATTTGAGGAGAGCTTTTATAGCGGTTTGTCTATCTGTCCACACAAAAATGGGTTTGTTGATTGTCATCCGGAACACCAGAAGCTCTGAGCACTCTTTGATTGCCAGAACTTCCGCTTGGAATACGGTGGCCATAGTCCCTAACGACCAGTTTCACTTGTAGTTTTCCTCTGGCCCGTACAGTCCTGCTCCAAAACAGCCTCTGTGTCCTGAGCCATCTGTATACCAGTGCATGACATTGGTGCCTGTTTTTTTACAGTTTCGCAGTTCTCCCTCTCAGGGATATAGGTTTTAAAGGCCTTCCTGATTTGGTACTTCCTGGTCATTCTATCTTGACTCGTGTTCCAGGGATTTTTCTTGAGGATGTCTTTCAAAGGATTTTCATGAGGATTTTCTTTCAAATTATAAAAATATTTTTTTCTCTAAGTGTTTTCCTCACGGAATACGCCTACCACCTTCCTGTGGTCTCCGTTGAGCAGCTATGAAAAATGCTCGTCAAGAGTGGGCGAAACTTATTAAAAAGACTTTCTAATAATGGTTCTAATATGGTTTCATTGCCCCGGCTAGCGAAGGTCTGACTTCGCCCAGGCCTGCTCTAAATTATGGCTCGGCAACCTGGGCCATTTGGCTCGCGTGGCTCCCGAGGTTCGTTAATGAAAGCTGGGAAAGGGGCATCATCCACTTAACGAAACTACCTGTCCTAAGTCGATTTTTCTCTCTCCCCTAGGTCGATCGATACTGGCAGAGGGCGGGAATTTTGATTTTCCATCAATTTGAAATATAAATATAATTTTTTTAATTCGAAATTGGTAGCAATATGAGGAAAAATTATTTTTTCGATGCTTTCATGATGACAAATCACCCCTGACAATTACTTTGTCTCCAACCGATATTTACAGCAATACAATAAATAAAATGAAATACTTGTCCATTCCTGAGGTGGTGCGATAACTGTACTCAATAAAATGAAGCAAACAATTCGTGGATGAATAGTGGTGTAAGTCTTATACCTTATACTTATACTATTTCTTACTATTATTGTTAGAATATTTGAGTACAGTTCTTTCATTGTCCTACAAAATTTGCTTGACACCATCCTAAACATTCTGGAAAAACAGCTCTACTAAGGGACTAATTTATGATTGGTTGTACTCCGAACCTGATACTGATTTAATTCTAAACATATGCTGAAATCTCAACAAAGGATTGTGTCGCTTTGAGTCATAAAATTGTTTTTCAGTTTATTCTTTTCCCTGAGAGAGTTTTTCACTCATATAGATATATATAGATATTCCACTCATCAAGCATTTCACAATATTTGATGATTTAATAACGGAACTGTCAGCCGCAGGGGCACGCTTAGAAGAAACTGACAAAGTGTCGCACTTATTATTGACTCTTCCAGTGGCATACGATGGTGTCATTACTGTGATAGAGACATTATCAGAGGATAACTTAACTCTGGCGTTCGTAAAAACCAGAATTTTCAAGACAATAGTGCAACGAATTCAAAGCAGAATAACGCGAATTCAAACAAAATAAGAAAAATTTACGAAAGTGCTACCATTGTGGAAGAAACAATCGTTTCATTAAAGATTGCATTTTCTATAAGAAAAGCCAGCAACATTCTAGTGACAAAAGATCTGTGCAGGCAGTGAATATGAGAGAATGTTCGGAAAATTCTACTGCATATTCAAATACATCAGGTTTTGCCTTTATGGCTGGTGATCCGCGAAGTGATCCCGACAATAATAAAATTAGTTTTCTGCTGGATTCGGGAGTTTCAGATCATCTGATCAACAACGACGGATTATTCACAAGCTTCCAAGTGCTGAATCCTCCAATAAGAATTTCTGTGGCGAAAAATGGCACATTTATCCTGGCGACAAAGAGAGGTGTCATAAATGTCACAACAAATATGGGAGTTCAGGCAACTCTGGAGGATGTGCTTTATTGCGAGGAAGTGTGGCACTTGCTGTCCGTTACAAAAATGCAGAAAGCTCAGATGAGTATAAATTTCAATCCAAAAGGGGTTGAAATAATTAAAAATGATAAAATCCCTATTATCGGTAAGCCCATGATTGAACCCAATCTTTTCTCGATTGAAATGAAAGTTAATACAATTAAAATTAACAATAAGAGAATTTATAGTGCCGTAAACATGAGTTACGATTTATGGCATGCACAATTGGGTCACTTGGGCAAATTGAAATTCGACGAATTGAAAAATAAACAGATGGTTGACGAGATTAAATTGATTAATAATATCGTACCAAATGATAAAATATGTGAAGCTTGCGTTTTCGGTAAACAAGCAAAGTTACCCTTTCAAAAGAGTAAAGATAAGGATTATGTCAAAAGACCACTGTTTATTGTTCATTCCGATGTGTGTGGACCAATCTCTCCTTCAACAATAAATGGCAAAAATTATTTTGTAATGTTCATTGATGAGTATACACATTATTGTGTTACTTATCTCATTACTTATAAATCCGAGGTATTTTCTATGTTTCGAGACTTCATTACAAAAAGTGAAGCACATTTTAATTTGAAAGTTGTCAATTTATATTGTGATAATGGTAGGGAATATCTGTCAAATGAGATGAAAGACTATTGTGTAGAAAGAGGTATTAGTTACCACTTAACAGTTCCACATACTCCATCATTAAATGGTGTTGCAGAAAGAATGGTAAGAACCATTACTGAAAAAGGTCGTACGCTAAATGAATTTCATCATACTGAAAAATCTCAAGAACATAATTCAGATATAACTGAGTTAGAAAGTGACATAAGTCAAAATAGAAAATTTGACAAATCTGATAAATTTGTAATTGAAACAGATAAACACAATCAGTCTGAGTCTCATGATAGTCACGATAATGAAAAACAAGAGCCAAATTTGAGAAGGAGTGAGAGGAATAAAAATAAACCTCGAATTTCATATGAAGAAGTAAATTATGTTTTGTCTGCGGAATCTATAGTTTGCAAAATTCCAACCTCTTTTAATGAAATAAAATACAGAGATGATAGGAATAAATGGGAACAAGCCATAAAAGATGAATTGGATTCACTGGCAGTAAATAAAACATGGATCTTAGTGACAAAACCACAAAATAGAAATATCGTAGATTGCAAATGGATCTTTACTATAAAGAATGATGAATGTGGAAATCCCATAAGGTATAAAGCTCGTCTGGTACCTCGTGGCTTTAGTCAAGAATATTTAGTTGACTATGATGAAACTTTTGCTCCTGTAGCCAGAATCTCAAGTTTTCGCTTCATTTTAGCTTTTGCAAACCAACATAATTTATTGACTCACCATATGGATGTTAAAATGGAGAATTAAAAGAAGAAATTTTCATGAGAGTTCCAGAAGGTGTGAACTGCAAATCAAATCAACTTTGTAAATTAAATAAAGCCCTCTATGGATTAAAAGAGGCAGCCAGATGCTGGTTTGAAACCTTTGAAAAAGCATTGCTTGAAAAGGGTTTCCAAAATTCATCAGTAGATCGTTGTATCTATTTTCTGAACAAGGAAGACATTAAAAAGAATATATATGTAGTACTCTATGTCGATGATTTAGTAATTGCAACAGCTAATATTCTGACAATGAATAACTTCAAGGCTTATCTCATGAAGAAATTTCGTATGACAGATTTAAATGAAATTAAATTGTTTCTTGGAATTAGAATTGAAAGAAAGAATGACATGATTACTCCTGATCAAAGTGCATACATTAAAACAGTTCTAAATAAGTTTAACATGACTGATTGTAATGTAGTCAGAAGAAGATTATAATGCTCCATGTAGAAACTTAATTGGATGTCTCATGTATATAATGGTGTGTACGAGGCCTGATTTAAGCGTAGCAGTTAATATTCTGAGTAGATATTCTAACAACAGTAATAAGGAACTATGGCAGTGTTTAAAAAGAGTCTTAAGATATTTGAAAGGCTCAATAAATGTTAAATTGACCTACAGAAAAGGCAATTATGAGCAAACTCTAAGTGGATATGTTGATTCAGATTGGGGTGGTGACATAGGAACAGACAGAAAAAGCACCACCGGTTTCTTATTTAAGTTATTTGAACGATGCACATTTTGTTGGAATACAAAAAGGCAAGCATCGGTAGCTACTTCTTCGACAGAAGCAGAGTACATGGCTCTTTTTGAAGCAGTAAAAGAAACATTGTGGCTTAGATCGCTAGCAAATAGTATAAATATGAAAATCTCAACACCAATAATTATTTACGAGGATAATAACGGGTGTATTTGTATAGCAAATAATCCAACTAGCCATAAGAGATCTAAACATATTGATATTAAATATCATTTCTCTAGAGAACAGGTGGAGAAAAAGATAATAATACTTGAACACATTTCAACAGGCAATCAGATTGCAGATGCGCTAACGAAACCATTGCCAACCATTAAACTTCTGGAGTTAAGGACAAAAATGGGCCTTGAATAAAAAAACAAGTGTTCTGTATATACTGTATTATAGTGTATTAATTAATTAAGGAAATGGCCTGAGTAGGTTTTACTGGGTTTCCCTATCTCCACGCAACAAATGTTGGGCCATATGTAGACCCCAGGTCCCACGAGGAAGGAAAATAGACTGATTATTTAGATTTAAAAATTTGAACTTATTGAGTCAAGTAATTTTTGAGGGGGCGTGTTGGAATATTTGAGTACAGTTCTTTCATTGTCCTACAAAATTCGCTTGACACCCTCCTAAACATTCTGGAAAAACAGCTCTACTAAGGGACTAATTTATGATCGGTTGTACTCCGAACCCGACACTGATTTAATCCTAAACATATGCTGAAATCTCAACAAAGGACTGTGTCCCTTTGAGTCATAAAATTGTTTTTCAGTTTATTATTTTCCCTGAGAGAGTTTTTCCCTTTTAAATAGTTTTTAGTCTCTGGACAACGGTCCTCAAGTTAAGACGTGTCTTCCTCGTGCTAATAAAGAATATTTTATAAAGTATTTCACTGTGTCTTCGGTTTTATTTGTTCGCTTACACCCATATTCCAATAATTATACTATTTGTCCACGAATTATTTTACGATTTAATTATTATATTATGAGCAATGGTTGCAATAGTCCTTGCTGAGGAAATTAATAAGAGTTAAGAATTCTGAAATATAAGAATAAGATCTGAAATATAAGAATAAGAATTCTGAGAAGAAAATAGCAACGGACGAGCTTCGCGCTCGTGATTTTTATACCTGAAAACTTTGACTCCTTCATTTGTTTGCAACGAACCTATCGGGAAATACTCGACATTTTTGAAGCTCTCGTGGTATTACAACTGATAATTTTTCGATAATTTTGTCGCTTACCTATATTTATAAAACAAAAAACTATTAGATTGGGTTAACCACTGATTGGAATCGACAGATTGAATTTAATTGTGTTATTTATCGAGTATTTCTTGACCATTGTCTCATAGTGCAATTCTACTGACTGAAATTTGGTGGGAAAAATAATCCCCCGAATACCACTCGAGCTTTGAAATTTATTGAAATATTTACCTCAAGGTTCCCTGCAGACAAATGAGTTTGTTAACTTTTCCAGAAAAACCTGAAAAACTTAACGCACTCATTCGTTCACCCATTGGTAAATATTCCGATAATTTCAAACCTCTCGTGGTATTATAAGCAATTATTTTTCCCATGCAACGCAAGCTTAGAATTTAATCGGGTATTTCCCTCAAGGTTCGCTACAAACAAACGCAGTCGTAAAGTTTCTCAGAAAAATAACTCGCTCGTGATTTTTTCACCTGAAAAACTTGACTCCTCCATTCGTTTACAGAGAAGCTATGGTAAAAAGACTCGATAAATTTGGAGCTTTTTGGGTATTACATGTGAAAATGTCTGAAAAGGATAACTTCCGTGAGAAAATCAAATTCTGTAATATATATAAATATTAACTTTCCATTGAATTTCTAGTGAACTCTCCCAAAACCTAATAGAAATTGAATTTAATTTTTTAAAGAAATTCGAAAGAGTTTGGAATTTTTTTCTCGAAGAAATGAAAATTGCCATCACATACTCAAATGGAAAACTGCCACTTACATTTCCATCATCAGTGATTCCTTCGTAAACATTTTGCTCCTTCAGAATTCCATTCCAGCCGTTATCATCTGCTCCTATCTGCTCCACCTTGTCTTCCAGAAATTTCTCAAATGGGACATCTTGAACTCCCACAGTTTCACTTCTGTCAGAAATCTCTGGAGTCAATTCCAAAACAGTGCCTCGAGTTTTTGCCCAACTCCCTGGAACTTTGGTTTTCACCCCTGGAAAAGGTGCAGGCGGCCGCGATTTCGGAGAATCCGAGTACCAAGGAATCGGTTCTCTCCTCTGCGGTGGCTTTACAGTAGTTTCTCGGGGATCGTAAATCTGTTTCAGTGTTACTCATTATTTTCCTTGTATCTCTTATCAATTTATCCTTGGGCTTTACCCTTGAAATCGAGTGTATGCTCGAGTTTAATAGTAATCTATTGCTTTGACTTCGTAGATAGTCATTATATTTCGGGACAGACTCCATTGAAAATGCTATTGAATTCGTTTTTTCCCAATTTTAAAATTTCGAAAAATTTTTCCGTCCTTTATATTTGATAGAATTTTTTTTAATCGTACTAATCAATAATAAAAATTAATATCCTACTTATTCGTGGATGAAATATTTCAAGTAATATTCTACCGGAAATCGAGTAAAAGTTCTATAAAGTGTCATAGGAAAATTCCACGATTCTTTCGTGTTCTCTTCCAATACAAATATATGTAATATTAAACATGTTCTTCTTGCGACAGTGATTGCTAGGAGAAATCAAAGTTCCCAACAATTATAAAGACCATTTAAATTATTGCCATTTAAAATAATTAAAACCACATTTTTTTCATTTTCTATTCTGAAACATAACTCGCAATAATTTATTGCTTGTTTCCTCCTTTGATGTAGAAGGAAAAAGAAATCAATAAAGATAATAAAATTCAATAAAGATAATAAAAATATTCTTACCGCATATGCGACCCCAGCAAAAACTGCCACAACAATCCACTGAATGACGCAATCTTGCAATTTGCCCCTCATCCCAATTGTGTTGTCCACGCGAACAATAAAAAAATATTTAACCCAATTACTTCACCATTTTATCGAGGCGCAATAATTCAAGAAAAGCTGTTACTTGACTGTTTGGTCTTGCTCGACCAAATAGCTGACTGCAATGTTCTAGAGTCAACAACTATCTTCTTGGGGAATACACAGAACTCATAACGAATGTGAGAATTTACTTCTTAGAAGAGGAAGAAGGGTTATCTGCGGAGGTCCGAGAGGTCTCAGTTCAATGCTGAGCATCACGTTAATATTTTTTTAAAATATTTGTTGTTCTAGTTTTCTGTGGTCAATCAATTTATAGGCAGCGATGACGCGGTTGTGAATTTCAGCGATTTCAGGAAAAGCAATTCAGCCAATTTGCGAGATGATCGATCGTGTGTTGAAAACTATTCTTATTCTATTCATTCAATCATAAAAGAAAGAATCAAGTTTTCCATTACACTTCAATTCGTTTTCTTAAAAAGAACTGCCCGTTGATGTCATTCAATTTCATTTATAAATTCGAAACACATTCAGGAGTTTTTATAAGGCGTTTACGATTTTTTTCATTCATTTTCTTCCATAAATCACAATTCATTCGATAAATTGCATGGAGTAATAAGAACAACAGCGATTTGTTAGTATTTTCAAAATTTTCATCTTATGTTGTTCTTTTTTTCGTTGTTGCTCAACTTTTTAAAATTTGAAAAGAAAGAAAAAAAGAAAACGTTATTATTGATATTGGCTCCTCACATAATGAAGGAACCCATCGTTCCATTGGTTTTGATATCGATGATGATGATTACGGGCCAAAAGAACGTATTAAATAGACCAATGACAACATAGCTGTTTTTATCCGTTAAAAGCTCCTTTCATTATGAGTATACATTTTTTACATTGACATATGATAAACCCAATTTATGTTTCATTTATTTCAAAGTAATTTATGTCCGTGAGCGGTATTAGTGATTGAATATGAGGGATACCCCATTCAGTTTAGAATTAATTTTTGAAATAAGCAAAGTTTTCAAAGATTAAAAATCTGATTCTAAATCTTCTGTAGAAGAATTCGGGCTGAAAATATAAGTTCATTTTAGTTTACAATATTCAACAGAAGTGAAAACTCATAGATTTTTACTTTCTTCTAGAGTTTATTCTACGTTTTCGTTGCTTAAATTCTTGAATAGATCAATACTTACAAATTATAATCATTAATTATAAATCATCAATTACTCCGGTATTTTATACCTAGAAATGGTTGGGTATTCTTACCTCCTCTTGTCACTTCGGAGATGACTTCTTCGACATTTCGCCTGAGCTTTTTGCCCATTGAATTGTTTTTAGTGGGACTTGTGCTCGGACTCTGTTTAATACATGTTTGTATGGGCGTTGCAATTCATGTTCCGTTTCTTCAATTCTGAAAAACCTTCGTACCCTTGGGGACACGATAAATATATTCTGGAGAAGTCCGAAAACACTGCTGATCGCCCAATAGAGACTCATTCCCTGAAAGAATGCGTCGAAAAATCTCGATTATTCTTTCTAACTTACCACGGTTTTCTTATCAATTTCTAATGATTGACGAATCTTTACCGAGGGAACGATTGAAGCGATAGGGACGAGTATCACTGAAATTCCTCGAAACACGTTTAATGTGATTCTCTGAATTCTTGTAGGTTTTTGCACTCTCATCATATAATTAAACTGCAATTTCACCATTAATTAAATTTATTGATGATCTTACTGAAGATACACAAAGTGACATCAGCATTCGCAAAACTTTATAGGTATAATATATAGAAAATCATGATGTTCAATGATAATCATATAAATTATAGGAATTGTTCAGACATCAAACGCAATATCTGAGTCTGTAATTAATTTTCTCACTGATATTTTAATAAGTTTCTCTCGAATTTTATCAATTTTTGAAACGGTAAAATGAATACTTTTGACTTTTCGTGATCAGAAAGCTTATCAAGCAAATGCTGAAGCTACCTTGCATTTTATTTAACTACACTGAAAGAAGTATCTTCATATTGTCACAAAACTAATTCTTCAAACCAAATAACTCCTCTGTTATGAGCAAATTCCTTGGAATGAGAATTTTTGATAATGTACCAAGTATTCATGACTGGAACATGAACATCAGAAATTGATAATTTTTTCCCACAAGGAATCGGTTTTCGCTCAAATTTTTCATTGGGTAACCAACGAATCAGCGATTTTGATCATGAATGGACTGACATGATAGTTTACGCAGAAGAAAACCTCCAGATATTAAGGAAACATAATCATTGTTTTGGTTGCGAAAGGGATATCTTCTTTTATACTTCGGCGTGCAGCAACTGACCGACTATGCGGAAATCTTTTTGGGTGCAATCAGCCGGTTACTGCACACTTTTCACACATGTGATAAGTGAAACTACACCCCTTGAAGCGAAATGTAAGGGTATTCCTTCTGTGAAACTTTTCATCTTTCAATAAAAATGATCTCATCTTCTTTTAGTAACTACCCTCTGAGCTAATACAGCATCGAATCCTTGTCGGAAACCTTTAATCCTTAAATTGATAGAAGATCGATTTTTGCCGCCGATATGACGCCGATTTTTATCTCATGTATATTGACTAAAGAATCCTATAAATGTTCACCTCAATATTGATTAAATTACAGACGCCCATAGTTATTGGGAGGATAAAATATGGATCTGCTACAGCCAAATTAGAAAACCAGACGATTCCCTCGTGGGATAATTCTGTAAGTGTTCTCTGAGCCACTGGAATGAATATCACATGAGTACAGAAAAAAAAGATAGATAATATGAAAAGAGAAAAAAAGGAAGAAATAGTTACACGGAGTTGGATATGGCAGCATGTAACACAAATTTCTGATAGCGGCAGACAGGCATATCCACAGTGGCAACTGGGTCATGATTAATACGAACCCCTTCATCGGATGACAATTCTCCTTGACAATCAATTCATTCCATTTATCTCTGAACTGAGGGAAATAAAAGTAGATATGAGGACAAGACAATTAATTATAATGAAAATATTTCGAATATAAAACATTACCCACTGCTTTATTGTATAGAACTCTAGACTCGTTCTCTGTGTATCCCAATTCTTGGACTCTATAACTAGCCTCTCTCTTAAGGTCGTGAACAATCTCATCCATCTCCCACTTTAAATTCGCCAATTTTGCTAGGATGTAGTGCTGGAAAATGAAAGGTGGAAGTTATTCTCGTATTCACAATGTAGTTTTCAACTCTTAATCTATTTTAGTTGCAAACTTGAAAAATTCAGTAGTTATAAGGGCAAACTGAAGTAGAATGAGGTTGAAATTAAGTAAAGGCTCGGGTGGATTATCTAGAAAAGATAACTTACTCCGAAATTCAGATTCCTAATTACTTTGGCAATTAATAGTTTTTTTCAATAATTGTTAGCTAGCGTTCTAGCGGTTGTTAGGGGGCCGTTAGCTAACAATTATCGAAAAAAACGATTGATTGACTGAGTAATTAGAAGTCCCAATTTTGGAGTAAATTATCTTTTCCAGACAGTCCATCCGGGCCTTAAGTGAATTAATTATCAAACAAATACCAATTTTTCCAGCTAAAAATTATCCGCATTATTTGTATTTTTGAAGTGAAACTTTAATTTCCAGTTTCGTTGCACTCGTTGTATTGATTCTTCAGTTATTTTTTTAAACTTCAACGAAATTTGTGGTTGTAGCAGGGGTACATTTGTTTCAAGTTTTGATGTATAAAAATGACAAATATTAATATGGAAGCATTTACCTGATACAAAGCACTGGGGAGGGTGAGTAAAGTTTTCGCTGTACACGTTACAAGGACAATGGTTGCCCACCAAGGCAGCCCTAGGGTCGAGTGTAACGTGATGAGATGATTTTGCATAAATTCTATCGGAGGACTATCCACCAATATTTTTGGGATTCCTTCGTATCGATGAAGCAAAGGTTCCAGATCTGTAGGTAGATCTGACAAATGTCTAACAGATTGACACAAAAGACGGATCCTATTTCTCCGGAATAACCCACTAGAACCAATCCCCCCAGAGAATCTATCCAGGTTAAATGATTTATCGCATTGCAAACATTGAAGAGAAAATAAACTTAAATTTTCTCTGTGAATCTGTGAATGGAAATTCGAATTGAAGCACTGGAGCGTCTTCTGCCTCATTTCGACACTGTTTAATACAAATTGCATGTGATGGCCCAATTCTCCTTTAGTTCTCATAATTTTCCACATTTTTACTGATAATTTCTTTTTCCTTTAAATTTCCTTTAGTCAATGTTATTTAGGTTTAAAATAGTTATATCTATCATATCACTATCATTGTAAACACGAGATATCAGCTGTTTATTTTAGGTTACGATCCATCGAACCTCCGTGCAACTGTGCAAGTATTGAGCGCCAAGAAAAGAAGATTCATCCTTGATTCTTACCAAAATTTTTTACGTTTCGTTATTTGTTGAGAGTTAAGATTCAAATGCGTCATATGACGGCCACACGATGAGCCATGGGTGGCGGCTGTCACAATTTCTCCATTCCTTTCCATGGTCGTCGCAGTTTATCAAAAATACGAATGACGGTCATTTTCTAACTGTCGAGTTGAAACTTGATTTTGTTCCATTTTTATTGGAATTCATTTCATATTAGATATTTTGAAATGAAAATACCACAGCTTTTTTTCATCGATTTGAATGGAACTATTTTGGGAAATTCATGACCGTCATTACGCATCTATATAAATGGTTTGGCAACAATTTGTTTATAAACTTATTTGTGATCATCATCTGTTTTTAGAAAATTTATTACTATGACGCGATATTAAAAATGACGTCTGTGCATCCTCTAGTCTCGGCTTTTCGAAGAATAAATTAAATTGAATTTTATTAAATTCAACGGTTTGTTACAATTTCTACAGGCTTTATATAAGATAAAATATCGAAATATTTACAGTTTCATTGTATATACAAATATTTCCATTTGATTTCTGTTCTAAAATGGTAACAGGTAAATTATTCATTTAGTTTCGTCAATTGGAAAATCATTTACTTTTGGTACTAATGCATGATTACGCTTTACTATGCCGTCACACACGTTGTTTCAAGAACATTATAATAAACCATGGCACTAATTATTGCCGGTTGTGATAACTAATTGGCGGAGCTGTTTAAGCACAGTCTCCAGTAATTTCTTCTTATCTCTCTCACTTTTCTTGAGCACCGAGAATACATTAGTTTTTTTATCTGACTCCTTCAACTTCTCGAGAAGTATCACCGCCATATTCGGTGTTACTACGTTATATTTACTGGAATCATGTCCATAATCATGGAAGTACGTGGGCCAATCCCAGCTCATAAAGAGATCTAACAGTTGTCTCAATTGAGAAAAATATTGGAGGAGAGTTCCCTCTGGTAATCCAGCAACAGGCTCAGAAGCTGCAAACTGTTCGCACTGAATCGTATCCAGATTTACTTGCTGGAGAGCTCCCATGGAAATTTGCCTCAAGTCCTCACTGATTAGAATTCCCAGAATTGCCTGAGCAATGTGAGAGCATGCGGATTTGCAGGCGACCTGGGCCACTTCAGCTGGCAGATTTGTGAAGCACGTGAAGGTACTATGGAGAAAGGCAATGAGGTCAGTGATGAAACCTGAGGCGTGCCCCTGAGGCTCTGTCAGATTCCAATCATAATTCTCGAGTTCTAAAAATTCATCAAGCTTGCGTTCCAACTTATCGCATATTTGTTTTTCTGCGTCGTCTCGAGCTACCCTAAACATCGCTGATTTTACACCCCCGCAGCTCAATTGTACGTCATGAGGTGTTCTATAACGAGAATAAATTATATTAAATTGATCTTCATTGTTTTCTAATATTATTGCACGAAGATATCCTGGAAATTTTTATTTGATAATGTACGATTTTTTTGCCAAGTCTATAAGGATTTTATTAGGAAGGTATTGAAATTAAATTGCCTCGCAATAATTTAATCGACATTAGTGGCAATTCTTTTAAAAATAAAAATCATAAAAAACTAATTTCCTCAATCAAATATCGTACATCGTACATTTTAATTTCCATTCTACTGCTATAAAATCAAAAGCGTATTAATTGTTATTTCTTTAAACACTATTAATTCCGTTATCATAGCAATTCATTGGAAATTAGCAATCGTTCAAAAATTGATTGTCGAAAAAATATAAATTTTTTCGAATCTTTGTGAAGCGTTGAAACTTCATTAGAGTTTATAAAAGAATAACAGACGAATGAAAAAGAAATCTATTAAGATGAAGTCCTACTGAACTTAGAGGCTTTTTCACCACAATTGGGATTCGACGTTCTTTTATTTTATTTTACTTTTTCTCATGACTTTCAATCTGAAGCAAAAACAAGTAAAGAATTGTTTTTATTTACTTATAGCAACATTAATATTTGAGAGATAAAAACTTCATTGAAAATGCTTCATTGGAAATAAAAATGTAGACTAATTTTCAAATGTATTACGAGGGAGCTTTAATTTATTTGTTTGACTCACGCTGTGATGTTTGACACGAATTCCTCTAGATACTTCGTTGAGTCTTCCAAGTACCCAGTATTTATGATAATCTGGACTACCTGAAGAAGAGCAAGAGATGGCTTTCGGAACAATGAAGACAAACAACCACTGAAAGTCCTCGTGAGCAACAAATTCGTGGATTTCGTTATCATCTCATCGATTTCAGTCTGTGTTAGGTTCAAATCCTCTGAGAACTTCAAGCAGGCATAAATAAACTCCTTAACTTGATGATAGACTTGAGGGACCATCTGCGAGAATGGAAATTTCTTGGGGAACTCAGCTTTCTCCAGCTCTGTATCGTGATAAGGAAAGGATTGTACTATTACGTCGTATTCTTCTTGAGTTGATACTTGGACTGGCAGGAAATTGTCTTCATCGAGGATGTCTCTAAAAAGCTGAACCCAATGTTGCATTAAGACTTCATTGTAATGCACTCTGATCTCCTGAAGAAGGTCCCACAACTGTCCGACTGGGTATCCGTAGTTTCTTAAGGTCGTGTTGAACAACATAATCAGGTTCTTTATCTTTAGGATTAGTGTGGCGTCTGTACAATAGGCTGAATGGGTTCTAAGGGCATTCACGATTTTTGATAGCGCCATCGCCCATAATTCTTCGAGATAGGTCCGACTCGCCAGACCATTTCCAGTGTTCAATATATGATCTTCAACAACGAAGAAACCAACAATTCCGTGAAGGTATGATTGATACCCGACGATGCTTTCATGCTGAAAATAAAATGAAACATCGAGTTATTTATTTCGAATTTATTTTCCAAAATGAGACGCTTTCCATTTAAAAATTGTGCAAAAAATGGGGCCTATATAGTAATAGTAATTGACAATTAATTTTTCCGCCCGTCCAAAATACCATTTCAATTCTAATGGGATCAATCATTTCGGTAAACGTTAATTCTCTCTTCTTCTTTTCTTTTGAATTATCGTGGATACAAAAATAGAAAAAATGACAAATGGCTTATCCGCTATGACAGGAATATCTATGTGACCGCGTTTTTAATAATTGATGGAATATTGTTATGATCTCGTTTCGGTAATCTTCTCATAAGAATTAATGATGTTGGTGCAACGATATACCATTTTGCGATAAAAATATTTTGTTTACATCAATTGCTCTGGTCTAAAAACTATTGAATCAATCTGACTTAATTTCAAATGAAATAGATTTTTTTAATCACAATACTATTTTGAAATAATTAAATAATATATATTTAAACAACTGACGTTAGTGGCCGTGCGGTTGGAGTGATAGACAAGCTGGCCAATGAGCCGAGTTCCATCCCGAGCACCGGCGATCGAAATGTATAGCGCTCTAATCTTACAGTTTCTGTTAAATGAGGTTTTTCCCTTCATTCGACAAATGCGGTACAGGAGGTTGGGGGGTGGTAATAAATCGTACAGACCCGCAAGCGTATACGATAGGAAAAATTTATATGTTTAAACAAGTATAAACAAATGAAATTCGAATAATACTTTTTTCAATATTAAGCAATATGGTTCAATGGAAAGAGTTGAATATCTCTGAAAGTGGTGTTTTGATTCATTTCATATCAAATTTTTACTCTCTATGGTTGTTCTTTCAAGTGTTGTCATATAAACATCGATCCTATCTCTCTGTTTTTATCTATAAAAAGGTGATACTACAAAATGAAGTTGGGGAGAGTAAGATTTCGGCTAATTTCATGCGTAAGACTTTTCACTCATTTCTCATTGGTCAATTGGCTATATCATAATAAAAAAAAAACGGAATTAATGGGTTGCGCGTTCGGTCTCGTTTTATTATAATAAAAATGATCAATGTCAATTATTAGACGACTCGTCCTCGATAATTGAATTTATCATGAATATCTACTTGAAAGATATTATTACGAGAATGTTTGAAATCAAAACAACTGATTTGTTTCACGAGTAGAGACAATTAAAATTCAGTTATTCCAATAATTGGTTATTAATCCGTAAATAGATGTTACTGAATACTTATTTAATCTATAACCTCTATAACCTCTATGTGAGGATAAACATCAATTGAAGTTTTAAACATATTTTATTCAAAAATCATAGTGAAAAACGATGCTGATCCGTTTTCAATAGTTTTCCAAATATTGTAAAGATTTTTTGTGAGAAATTTACCAGAATTTTGTATATACAGAAATTTTCTAAATACGTTATATTTCGAAGTTTCCGGAAAGTAATTTTCATATAAAATCGACTGATTAAAGCTCCCAGAAGGAAAACAATGAATATTTTACCATATTAACAGGAGGCTGAAGTACCAATCTAGCCTGTTGCTTCCTTTGCTGTTGATAATATGCCTTGAACTCATCACCCTCCCTCAAAACTGTGTAAATATGCATACAACGGTAAACAGGACTGAAATCCATCAGATCTTGAGCACTGAGTTCCTCTTCTCCTTCATTAATTGTGGAAGCTCTGATTTGCAACTTCTTTTTCCTGCCAATGATCTCTGCTTCAGTAACGAGCTGCTCCGCACTGTGACGCATTGCCACTTCGCCAATTTTTGGGGAATATTTTCTGATATTTTCCAAGAAGTCTCTGAGGTCTGACATTGAGGCATCCTTAATGTTCTTCCTCAGTAATGGTATTTGTTCGGTTATTTGAGAAGAGAATCTGTAGTTCGTAACTTTAGGCAGATCATAATGCTCCAACTGTTCCAGGGTCTTTAAAGCTGGGTAGTAACGCTTATCTTTCAATTGCCTTTGGAGCTTGGCATACGCTGCTAGTACTGGCAAACACATGTTTAGACTGTCGATGGCTGCTGCTATGTTGCTCTCGACTTTTCTTGCTTTTACCAGCTCCTCACCCTTTTCAATTACTTTTGATGCCGAGGCACTTATTCTATTGTCCAAGTCGAGTATTTCAGTCTAGATGGTGAATAAAAGTTATTGAGCATCAAATGTGAAATAATCAAAATAGAATCGATCATTTTTTCTACGCTAATGCCATTCTTCTGTTTTTCCTGTACTAACTTAAGATATTACAAATTCCTATATTGTATCATATCAGACCTAAATGTCGAAAATTGATATGAGGTATTCCATACTAAGTGAACCAGGTTCAAACCTCGAGTTGTTATAATATTGACGGCCAGTTTTTATAGGATTGTGGGGATTAAAAAAAATTTTCACTAACATTGAGCTGTTGTGCTTGCGATCGAACTTGTAGTAGTTCCCTGATAGAATCGATGAATCCCTGATAATGATGATTGCACATACGTTCAATGTCTTTGTCATGGCTCCTGACCCTCTCATCCAGCTTTTCCATGAACTTTTGGTGCTCGTGGCCATCATATATAGCTCTGGAATATTGCAGGACTTATGACAAAGTCTCTCAAAACCACAAACACGGAAAAAAAGCATCAAAACATCATTTAACCCTTGTCTCTCCGAATATTCGAGACCTTGATTTATACCTAATCACTATGCTCACGCTGCTAGTATCACTGGTCTCGATTTCCAGAAGCAGATGCTCATGCTTTGGACCCGCCGACAGAGCATTCTGGATCTTTCTCGACATCTCCAATGTCAAAATGAGGTTTAACAAAAAAAATGACCAACTTTTTCCCCCCTTCTGGAGAGAAACTCCTCCACGTTATACCAACCCTCATTATGAACCCCTTCTTTGCGCATCTGCAGACATTTGCAAGCATCTGCGTATAGGGGTGACATCCAAACCGCGGTTTTTAACGGCCCCAAAACCACCCCTCATTTGTGCCTTTTTCGTTGATTATAAAATATTAAAGCAAATTTACCTGAATGTCGGGCCCAGGTAATCGTCAATTCCCTCAATTTCTTGGATGAGCAGATCGTAATTTTGGCCATTTGTTTGATTATTCATCCTTGTTATTAAGTATATTCTATCAAATATTTTAACAGTTATCGTGGCTGACTTGGTACCTCCTCCTCCATTGTCACGCAGTGCTAATACCATCCAGCAGACGTCGAGGCGTTCGCTCTGGCGGGAAAAACCGGATGTGGATATCAATTTCGAAGGACTGCTCATTATCAATAACTATTTTTATTAGCGCTTAGTAATACTGTACAATGATTTTTATTTAAAAAAAGCCAGAACTTTGGACTCTTCTGTATGCGTGTATGTATAAAGGTCTGCGGATAATTACTTTCCTGTAAATTAAGGTCAAATAAAAGGTGAACGCATTTTCTGAACCATTTGAAACTTAGGTATTTATTTCACTAGTTTCTACCACCTCTCAGGGCAACTCTTTACTTACATTCGGTCAAGGTAATTTTTTTTCTGGCGCACAAAAGACAATGTCCTTGACGTTAGAATGGAAATTTTTAACCCTTAAAAATGAGAAGGACAATTAAAAAAAAATAAAGATAAATACATATATATATTTTTCCGTACTGCTTCTCACGATTTCTCGTCTGAGAATTGGTACTGCATATTTCCTTAACTCGATCAGAGATAATAGGTAAGGTATGATCACTCATCTCTATATAACTCTATATAGAGGTCAGCGGCATGGGGAGAAGACGTTATATTGCCGAACTAAGGGTGGGGACGAATGATTTGACTGATTTCATTGCATTATAAATTTATCGAATTAGATTTTTCAGAAGTGTTAATCAATCAATAATTAATTAAGCTTTTTTTTTATTGAAAAGAAAGCAGAATTTGAACACCAAAAATAGTACTCACGCAATCTAAATGATATAGGTCAGAGCTATCGTGTTCAGATCACACGTAGTTGGTTTTTGCCCTAGGATTATCCAGCATATAACATATCTGTAACCACTAAATCGCATCTGTGCTCACTCATCTACCGAAAAATGTAAACACAGTTATATCTATGAAAGTACTTTAAGAACTAAACAGTAGGTTAAATTTGTTCGTAAACAAGTAGGAACTACTCTGAAAAATATTTTATTATGAATGTTTTTATATGTATAGACGTCAGGACATATGTATGAAAAATCTAAAACTGTTAATGAAAAAATAAAAAAAAAAAGATCACACGCGGGAGACTTCGGTTCAAGTCTCCTTGCCGCCTTTTTTTTTTCTTTCTGATGTACCTAATCACATATCTAATAATCGATCTCCTCTTATGCATCCTTTTAACATAAATAATCTTGCTAATGGCTATTCCACAATAATTAAGCAAGTAGTAGAATTTTAATTTCTTTCAAAATCGGTACACCAACAGAATAGCAGTCGGTAACTCGATCATCAACCGTCGGTAAGTTATTCAAAAGCGAACTGTAAAATTTTATAAAATTTTACATCATGCATAAGAGGAGATAGATTATTAGATACGTAATTAGGTACATCAGAAAGAAAAAAAAAAGGGGGCAGGGAGACTTGAACGAGGTCTCCCGCGTGTGATCTGGACACGATAGCTCCACCTATTTCATTTAGATTGCGTGAGTACTATCTTTGGTGTTCAAATTCTGCTTTCTCTTGAAAAAAAAGCTTAATTAATTATTGATTGAATAACACTTCTGAAAAATCTCATTCGATAAATTTATAATGCAATGAAATCAGTGAAAACATTCTTCCCCACCCTTACTTCGGCAATCTACTTTGGTTTTAGCGCCACCCCGCCATTGCTACCGCTCGCCGCTTCGGTTTTTAATTAATAATTAACTAATGACATCCGTACAAACGATGAAACCGATTGATATCGCTACTACAATTGAATACAATCGATTTGACAGGTCGTCATTAGAAAATATTCAATTTTTAAATAATTTCAGGCTAACTACACGCCCAAACTTAATTAATTAATTAAAACAATTGGGAAATGTTACAAACAATTATACATCGATTACAATCAAGTACTAACCCAATACAATCGAATGCAATGATGTTTATCCCTATCACTGACCTTTTCAGGTTAAGTGCATGGAGGTGTCCGTGACATCAAAGCTTGGAAATACCTCCAGGGGAGGAATTCTGCGCGTTTTATGACCCCCGGGTACTTACCCGACAAAAGTCAGTAATTCGAAAAACGCAATTATGTACTCGATTGTACATCGTTAGTATATGATTGTACCTATAAAATTTTTGTTTGTACATCAACGGATTAATTAAAAAAAATTAATTAAATTTCGGCATGATCTTAGCCGACAACAAATTAAAAATTGATCAATAAAACCAAATTAGGGGTGTTTTCCGAAGGAAATCGTTTGTACATTACG